CAGAGCTCTTTCCTTCGGTAGATGTTTCCAAGAAAGATTTCCCCGCTTGTTTTCACGTGGAGCGAGAAATCTCAGTTTTATGCTGCCAAGACTGTTAACGATCTTCTGCAGCAGTAGTTGTGAGTGGTTCTTCGAGCTGGCCTTGAAGGTAGCGGCCGCTGAAAAGAAAAAGTGGGAAAAGAGGGCGAGTAGAAGTCGGTCAGCATTTTTATGAATTCTGGGACTATCTGTTGGTTCCCTGCTGATTACTTCCGTTGCTGCTACTGCTGAATCGAGCAAAGTAAGGAAGCCACCACATGCCACAATATAGGATTATTGTATCGGAAATTAAATTCGGTATATTTAGACAGCAGTTATTCTTTTAAAGATTTATGGTTAAAAACAATAGACATTTTAAAATAACAACTCATTAAAAATTACGATACGATCTACTTAAAACAATTAATTTTCTTTTTTCATTCCGATTCTGATGATGACTCATGTGAGTCGAAACCTTCGTACTACATAGCATAAATTATGGCCAATTTCTCCACTTACAACAACAACATTCGCACATTAGAAAAAATAATTAAATATAATAGACAAAAAATATCTATTGTTTTTTAAAACATTTCAAACATAAATTTTGTATACTCTTAGAATAGTGCGAGATACACTACCCGTAAACAGGTTACAAGAAATATATTGAGCATTTCTTACTTCATGGAAAAGACATATTCTCTTACAGAATGGGTTTTCATTTCTTTTTATTTTTTTTTTTTTAGAGGAATTTCGTTATCTCGGGTTTGAAAGAAATCAGTAATGACGGCAAAGTCAAGGGAGATAATTGCTTCCATCAATTTTCCTTCAGATATTCAGTAAACGACTAGAAACATCTTTCCATTATTTGGGGATCTGACTAACTTGATTCCTAGATTTCTTTCCAGCCATAAATGCTCAAGTTAATTGTAATCTTCTGAGACTCTAGTAATCGAGAAGGGGCAAAAAGTGGCGATTATTATTAATTCTTTGTTTCTTTCTAGTTGTACTATTTTTTTTTCTCTTTAAGCTGGTTACATTCCCTTTGGATTGTCTTTCACACTTCAGTCGCGGATGAGAAAAAATGCTGAGACTTTAAATTGAAATTCAATTGCAAAATTCTTTACGCTTCGTTTGCAAAAATAAAATGAATAGAAGAAAAAATAGGGAAAAAAAGGGCTGGGGGAAGAAAAATAGGAGAATATTTCACGTGAAATTCTTAGAAATTTTTAATAAATTTTATTAACTTATTTTTGGGTTGTGCCAACTATTTTGAAAGAGAAATTGAATACGTCCCACCACCGACAATGATCTTTATTCTGGAGAATGGTCAAATGCCACTAGCACCATCGTGACGTTAACGTCGTAAATGCCACCTTTACGTCTAACACACACACACACATACACACAAATACATAGACACACACACATACATACATACACAGATACCTACACACATAAACATAGACACATGCACATACATACATGCACACATATGCGCATACGCAAATATGCGTAGATACACACATATATACATACGCAACTATACGTACATGCACACACATACATGCAAACACAGACATACTACATATATAAGATGGTACCCAAAACTTTGGTAAATTTAAACTGCGTGTCAGAACTGAATGTAGTATGGAATGCTACCTATAAACATTGCGAGTAATACCTTTTGAAGGACACTGTGGTAACTATGTGATTAGGGTTTTCCACAGAGCATCATAGCCCAAGTCAGTGTAGATATTCTTGTAATGAGTGAAGCATGGAAAGTTTATATTATGTTCTTATAAAATACCAAGAGAGTCATTTATAGATCATGCGTGTGTGTATGTGTGTGCGCACGCGCGCGTGTGTGTGTGTGTGAGAGAGAAGAGAGAGAGAGAGAGAGAGAGAGAGAGAGAGAGAGGAAGAATAAATGAGAGAGTGGAAAGACAAATTATTCGAATCCTGATTGTACACATTAATTCTTTTCATTTTGTCTACAACTTTAAAAAAAAATTCCATTTCCGACCACTAATTTGCTTCTTTGAATTTGTTTTCTGCAGAATTCCAGAAATAATGCTCGTTAATTTTAGCACCAAATTTATTTACTTACAACCAACTTTCTTTCTATTGTGTTTTTAAATCTGTTGTTTGACTTAAAAGTAGCAGTTGTAGCGTCGATTTTGAGCGTTAATGACTGAACATTTAAATTGAAATGCACCAAAAATCAGATTGCTGAATTTTCTTCATGATGCCTGATTCTATCAGAAGAAAGTCTGTGAGAATAGAAAACACTAATACGCAAACAATTTCGTAATGAAGATCATCATGATCATCATGATCATCATCTCATATCTACTAGGGGTGGCGTGGGGTTAAATCCCGTCTGCAGTTACTAACAGCGCCAGAAGTTTCGTCATTTTCACTCCCTCTCTCGTTGTTATTGCAATGATAACTGCTGGCATTCATACCTTTACCAGGACATTCATTACACCTGGTATCATTATAATATTCACCAGGACCACTTCACTATCACCACTGCCTCAGTCGTCGCCACCACCATCACTATTTTCAATGCCATCGTCTTAATCGTCGTAATCATTATTTATTATGTATCAATTTGACACTGACGTGTATTCGATGACATATGAAGCTCCCTATTTACATTCCAAATCACAATATTTTAGATTAAAGTGATGGACCTGACACCTCAACTTTGCAGAGATGATTGAGAAATTTTTTTGAGTCATTTTTCTTGAAAAAAAAACCCAAAGAAAAATAGTAAACTTAGGGATCTGTTACCGTCCAGTGTACGCGTTGTGAGATGAACATGTGTATCTTCTGAAATGTCCACAACAAACATGGCGGACTCGGAGCATAAGTCCACCTAAAAGAAATGTAAAGAAACAAGAAGAACCGATATATATGTACAAACAAATTATAATGTATTAACAAACACAGGGTTACAAGTAACACAAGCAATAAAGTGTGTGTAGTGAGTGACTGTACGTACGTGTGTGTGTGTATGTAATGTTCATGCGTGTCCCAAAAGAGGGATCACGTTCTTCTGTTAGAAATTTACATTGTTGACGTCTAAGCGTAGAAATGAGAAAAAGAGGGCGAGAAAAGATATCGCCGTGTATTTATAGAAGTGGAGAGCGTCCCCTAGTAGCGATTTTGGAAATTAGGCGGAAATAACCCGACAATATTTTATAGTAAAAATGTCTGAAATTTTTTTGTCGTTCTAAACTTGGTAGAAGTTTTTCACTTTGAAAGCAATTAGGTTTTTTTGAACTTTGAAGTTCCCAATGTGGAGAGTAATATCTTTTTGTAGAAATAGGTTTTTACTAACATAAACATTAAGTGGCACAAAATTTAATTCATCGAAATTTCATAAAATTAAATAGGTCTTTTTAACAAAAGTTAAAAGAAAAAATATTTTTACCAAGATCTTATAAACAAAAACATTTGTAAAATAATTTCACTCATTCATAAATTTCCGATACTTATCTTCGGACAATAAAAAAAATCGAAAATATTTTTGATTAAAATTGTGAAAAAACATTCTAAATAGGATGAAAAAAATAATTTGATCTTCCCTCTTAATAATAGCGTAGAGATTTTGAAGTTTCAGTCATTCTTTTTAATCATGGTATAGTAATTTTTTTCGCAAACCAGTGGCAGCGCATGTGTGTGTGTATATATATATATATATATATATATATATATATATATATATATATATATATATATATATATAGCGTGTGTTTGTGTATATGTAGTTGTTGTTGTGTGTGTATATATATATATAGTGTGTGTGTGTTTGTGTATATGTACGCAAAGTCAGCTAGAATTTATACAATTCAAACAATTTTAATGAAAAAGAACAGACAAGGATCGTCTGTTTCATTTTTTTTTATTTTATCTGTATTTTTTACAATTTTCGAATAAGTTGTTAATTGTGCATGAAGTTGTGGATATACTGTCCAAAGTTTATATTTTCTTAATGGTTTATTCAAGTACTTTTGACCATTGCAGTCATTTTCAAGAACCAATATGGTGTCTGTGTGGTAAAGGAATTCTAACTACACCCTCTTTCTCTCTCGTCGGGTAACTTTGCTAGTCTGGTTGATAATTACTACTGAATAGTGAATTCGATCCTCACTGGGTGCCTTTTAAAAATTCGATATTAAAAAATTCGACAAGAGTTGACACGCCGTAAAAATAACAGGCTTTTATAGAATTTATTCCAATAATACCACCAAATATGCGATTCCACCAAAATCTCATTAATTTTCTGACTAATATTTGTTCGGTGTTTTAAAGAAGATGACCTTCATAGATGCGGTCAGTCCACCAAATTGTGTTCTACTTATCTGACAATGGATGCGGAAAAACTTAAATTTAAAATCCAGTAATACAAGGCAAAAAAAAAGGAAAGATGTTAATAATAATCACCAGAGGAAATTTTGGTTCTAACTGCAGCTTTTATAAATGCGTGTCCTTAACTATTTTGGCTTTCTATTAGTAGAATCTGTGAAGAGATTTAATTTGGGTTGTGAAGTGAGAGGGAAGTGGAATTGAACCCAAGCCTTTTTAATGAGAATCCTTTCCCTTGAGGCAATCAAGACTGATTAGAACGAAGCACGGTCGTGGTAAATTATTTCATCAGGAGGTAGCCAAGCGTGTCAACCAAAGAAAAATTGCGATCTCTTTTCGCCTGTTCATGCGATGGTCTCTAACCAGCCATTTAATAATAAAAAAAAAAGGCCTACCTAGGGCAATGGCACATTGGTTTCAATGAACTTACTTGGGACCTCACACACTTAACATAGCGACTATTTTCCAAAACCGTTTGTAAAATCCTTTTTCGGGATCATTATCAGCTTCCTCGTCACGTTCTCCTTAATCTCGCTCACTCTCTTTCAACGGCAATTTTAGTTTTGATAAAACGCAGAAGTAATTATCTATATCAATTTGTCCAGATCTATCTATCTATCTATCTATCTATCTATCTATCTATCTATCTATCTATCTATCTATCTATCTATCTAATTTCAATACCGAATGAGAGGTACGTATTATTCTTATTCCATTGACTTTAAACTGATTGGATTCTATCGAGGTTAATAATGGGAGTAGCAGCTTTTTGTTTGGGCTGTAAGTCAATTATACTATGTATGTTTTGCCCATGTGTGCTCACACCCATTATTTCTTTCGTGATATATCAGTGATGAGACATTTTATTTCGATGTCTGACAATGAAACAGTCTAATAACAAAAACGGTTAGTCCCGGCACCAATTGCTACAAATGTAATTTGACGGCACGCCATTTTAATCCCTATTAAATTAATTATTAAATTAACCTCAAACATTAACAAACAGCATTTTTAAATAAATTTCTTAGTGTAAAAACAGAATAAAAGAAAAAATCTCAAGAAGAAATATTTGTTACATAATAAACATAACAAAACGTGATTAAAGTTAACTTTCTTGGGAGAGACTTTGTAACATTTGTAAAAAGAAAGACTAGGAAAAAATAGGATTAATAAGTTATTTCCTTAAATCAAGTGAAACTTACATTCCGGTATAAGTCTATGAAAAATTTAACATATTTTTCATTCGTTAGAAATACAGATCACGCAAAGTTAATCATAAGTTCATTTGCTTCATAGTGAAGAATATTAAATATTAAATTAAATTTTAGGCAAAAATGTTAAATCAACCACCGAGTAAAAAAAACAAGTTTCATAAATTACTTTTTTTAAAATTTCGCACAAAAAAGTTCGTTCTTGTAATGAAGGCATAAAATAGTATAGTAAGTTCGAAGGAAATAAAATAAATAAATCTTATATTTACTTCAATTAAATATGCTAATGTATTCCAAATGTAAAAAGCAAAATATTTCTTAAGCCAATTACAGCAGCAAACTACCGCAGACCTAAACAAAATCTAAAAATCGTCGCTCCCACTGGAATGACGAGATTTGAAGTAGTAAAAATCAGCTACAGTTGCACTAAGGACATGGCACAAATAATAAAAAAAAGCACGACAGGAAAACAATCAACAAACCACCCGATCAAATTAAATCCACGTGCAACTGCAGAACAAATAACGTTTGTCCCTTAAACGGTAATTGCTTGCAGAACAATGTAATATAGCAAGCCACTGTAAAATCATCAGATAAAGAAAAACATACATAGGAGTAACTGAAAAAAACATGGAAACAAAGAAACTATGCACACAAAACACCATTCACAAATAGTAAATACGCAAACACTACAATACTTTCTAAATATATCTGGGAGATTAAAAACCAAAACCAAAATCACACCAAAAATATTATGGAAAATAAGGAAAACAACATTAGCTTACAATAATCAATTCAAAAACGGTAAACTCTACCTGTAGGAAAATAGCTATAATTACCTTCCCAGACTAAAACAATCTACTAAATAAATGACCAGAAATCATCTCAAAATTTCCGAAATAATAAAATAACTCAAATATAATTTAAAAATACTGATTTCGATCTCGTAAAATTAACCAAGCCAAGCAACTCTATGGATATTTATTCTACCGGTGTTCTTTATTGAACTGAAGTGGTAAAAAATACATATTTATCTAATAAGGTGTAGTTCCTTTTTTATGGCGGCTACACAAAGTGGAATTGAATCTACAAAGTTCTAGAGCTGTTGCATGGCTATAGCTAACAAGATACGTTTCCAAGGCACCATATGGGTTTGGCTGCAGGGAATTTTGAGATGTCTGCAATAAGTCCTAATACATGTCCAATGTGTAGTAAATCTGGCGAGCGCCGGGAAAAATGGAATATCTGTAAATTAGCCGAATTATTTCTGGAATCACTTTCGTATCAATTGCATTTGACCAAGGAGTTACTTTACTAGAACAAACCACCATTATCTGAAAAGGGATGCGAATTGTTTGTTTGTCACGCCTATCAAGACGGACATTTTCACAAGTGGTTCTTACAAATTTCAACGAAACACATAATTACAAGTCACCATCGGATTGCCCCTAGACCTTCCTGACAAGTTTTAATCCTCATACGGTTTTCTCCAAACATGAACTCGACCGTCTGAAAAAACTGGAAATATATGTCGTCTGTCCAGAGGATACGATATCAGACGTCTACAGTGCAATGGCAATGTTACCTGCTTTAGTAATCGATATCAATGTTTCAGTAATAGTAGACTTGTTGGTCGTACTCCTTGTCAGTCGCCAGTGGTCATCATCTCGCATCAATTCTGAGTTCTGCAATTTTCAAACGCCATTATTGTCTGTCCGGAATTCGCATTCTCTTGCTGCGTTCTTACTGCCGCTGTGTGAGGAAAAAACTACAAAAGTTGCCACACCTCAGAGACAGAATTCCTTTTGGCCTTATCAAGTATTACATGGTGTTAAATCCTGTCTGCTTCACATGGCTGTCGGAACTGCCCTATTACAACTACACTATCTTTTATCTATTAAGTCACACATACGTCATCAAGCTATGTCCATTTCTATAAGCGAGGTATGGACTACCGCTGTTTGTAATTATTTTGGGTACTTGAGTTTATCATTGTTGCCATCGACTTTTATACCTCATGTTAATTGTGTCCCTCTTTTTCAATTCCTCCTGTTGTTTTGCGCCATTATTTTTTCTGTCGCTGAACAAGCATTATGACGTTTTGTGTTATCGGCTTCCCGGCCCTTTCAGAAAAAACAATTCTTTTAGAAGAACTGAGAATCATGTTTGCCATTTAGCGTTTGTATTTCTTTATGCTTTGGGTAGGTATCATAACAGCGTTTCGAAAGTGGAATTGGCGAAAGGAATTCGAATTCTGGCCTAGTCTGTTACGTTCAGTCTCGAATTAAATCTTTTGGAAAAGCATGGATCTGTCGTACATAAGTATGGAAAAAAAACTGATCTCAGCATTAAGTAATACAAAGCTTGATATGTCGCTAAACAAAAATATTTTGAATATAGGTTAAAAAGAAAATTAAACCCTGACTAGTAGTCAGTCTAAAAGAAAGATTTTAAAACTGACAAGAAGACTAAGGGAGAGCATTACATTATCTTTCCAGGGAAGTTATGGCAATTTACCGATAATAAAGAAAAGGAAGCTGTGGAGAGCCATGACCAACGACGTGTTATTAAAACTTATTTTATGGCAATTTTTTAAATTTTATTTTGCTCGACTTTTTCTCGGTGTTTATGTGTTTGTGTTGCCCTTGTTTTCCATTATTTTTTTTTGTTATTTGTTTCTTTAAAATCTTTTTTTTTTAGATTTGTTTTTATTTTCAAGTTTGATTTCCCAAACGCTTATCGTATTCAAGATTTCGTTCTCATTCCCCTTCCTACATTATAAATATTAATTTCAACTTTTACCGTATCTCAACCACCTGCTTATTTTGCTCGCACTAACTGAAACATTCTTCTTTTATGTTCTTTTTCCCTTCAGGGTGTGGCTCTCCACACTTTCCTATCCCACTTCGTTTTCTATTACACAAGTTACTCATTTTAGAGATTAAATTCCTTTTTTAATTCCTTTATATATCTGCTGTCATGTTATAAAGAAAATATTTACATTGTTGACTTGATTATCGCAAAATATATTTTATGCAAAATACGCTTGCCATCCTGGCTACCATTTTGACAGGTAATTTCGTTGTATGTAACATAATATGCAGTAATTGGGAAATTTACGACGTGATTCTATGAAATATTATGTGAAATGGTCCGCTCTTTCTAACGAAACCTGTTTATTATAAAAGCGAATTAATTGACATCGATCGATTAATTCATACAAACATGATTAATATGAAAGCTTTAAAAATTTCAAAGAAAGGGCATATTGTGTGTTATGAAAGCAACAAAAGACATTGGATGTGTGTCGAAATGGTCGAGTCACATCAAAATTCAGTTAATTTACGGCAGAAATCTGTCGAATTCATGCGAAAATAATTGACCCCGTTTTAATTGCTATTTTTTTTTCTTGCTGGGTTTTGCGGAATTAGGCGGCATTTATTCAGCATTGTAGATTGCCTGTCAAAATAGAAATATTGATTCGAAGATGAGGATTTATTGGCAAAAGTAAAGGAAAGAATATTTAGGCAAAGGAAATAAACAGAAAGACGTTTAAACATTATGAGAAAATATAATTAGAGAATTTAGGGGGGGTGCACATTGGTGGGAACATGATTAGCAGGTTTGATTTTGTTGCAACTTGTTCCAATCCAATTAAAATTCATTTTCGGTTATATATATATATATATATATATATATATATATATATATATAATTATTTATTTAAAAATATGATTCCATCGCAAATATTTTTAAACAAATAATTATATTTATGCTCTACTTTTGTATCGAGCACTATTTTTAAAAATAATAAAAAAAATACTAAAGAACTTTTGATTATTAACCTAACGAGTTCTTTCCTATTTTCTATATATTTTACACACACACACACACACACACACACACACACACACACACACACACACACACACACACACACACACACACACACACACACACACAAACACACACACATATATATATATATATATATATATATATTAAGACATTTTTATGTTTATATGTTCTTCTTATAGATACAAATATTTAAGTAAAAAAAATGTATAAACATAAAAATGTCTTAAAATAATTGGCGGATTTTGTACATTTCATAATATATATATATATATATATATAACCTAGTAAGATGAGAATGAATAGAGTACAATTCCAATGTCCGTAACATTTAATTTAAAAGAAGGCTCAATACAAAGTAGAGCTATAGTCTTTATTTTAGGATATTACATCTAAAACATGTCAAAAAAAAAAAAAAAAAAAAAAAAAAAAAGTACACAACTGCAGTCGTGTTTCGATGCGAATCAACGCATCTCACCAGGAAGTCATTTACAATCATCTGATGAGATGCGTGGATTCGCATCGAAACACGACTGCAATTGTGTAGCGTTTTGACATGTTTTGATGTAATATCCTAAAATAAGGTATGTTTGTATGTATGTATGTATCTCTCTCTCTCTCTGTCTCTCTCTCTGTCTCTCTCTCTCTCTATA